CGGGCGCAGCGCAGCGCGGGGGCCGGGGCCGTTGACGGGCCGTGCTCGCTGCACCAGCTGCGCGTGGACCTGCGCGCCGAGCGCTCGGTGCTCATCCCGGAGACGTACCAGGCCAACAACTGCCAGGGCGCGTGCGGCTGGCCGCAGTCCGACCGCAACCCGCGCTACGGCAACCACGTGGTGCTGCTGCTTAAGATGCAGGCCCGGGGCGCCGCCCTGGCGCGCCCGCCCTGCTGCGTGCCCACGGCCTACGCGGGCAAGCTGCTCATCACCCTGTCCGAGGAGCACATCCGCGCGCACCATGTGCCCAACATGGTGGCCACCGAGTGCGGCTGCCGGTGACCCCCGCCGGGCCCCGAGCAGCGCCCTGCCCATATTTATTCGGACCCCAGTCATCGCCCCAATAAAGACCAGCAAGCACCCCGCTCGGGTGTCCGTGCGTCTTTGGGGGCGGGGGGCCTCCTTCCGCCAGCAGGGCCGCGTCATCCCGGTCGGCTCCACCGCCTCTCCCCGGCCCGAAGCTCCATCCCCCTCTTTCAGGCCCCGGGCAGGTTCGAGGCGCAAAGGAGCAGGCGACGCGGGGGCCGCTCACTCGCTTTATTTTACTGGACCCGCGGGGCCACTGAGAAGTGGTCCCGGGATCCGGCGCAGCACCCAGGTCCGGCTCAGTCCCGCCCCTTGCCCGCGCGGGGCTTCTGGCGGCCCGGAGGCCGGTCCTCCTCGTCTGGGCGCCGCGCGGAGGCCCAGGCCGGCCCTTTCCTGTGCTCGGGGTCTCCGGAGCCCCGCGCCCACGGCCGATGGCCGCCTTCAAGTGCTTCCCAGCGCCGGGGTAGGGCTTCCCGGGGCTCCCTGGCGGCGCGTGGCTTCTCCTTACGCGGCCTCTCTTTTCTCTGCGGCCTCTCCTCATGTGGTCTCTCTTTCTGCGGTCTCTTCTTCCTCATCCTCTCTTTCCGCGGCCTCTCCTCCTTCTGCGGCCTCTCTTTCCGCGGTCTCTCCTTGGGCCCTCGGTCGGCGAGGGGCGCGCGCTCCTCCCCAGGCTCTCCTTCGTCCTTCTTTGCAGCCTCCCCGCTCCTGGGAGCCTTGGGCCTCTCTGCCTCCGCCTGGGGTGCCGGCGGTCCTGAAGGGGGGGCCCAGGCCACGGGCTTCGGCTGCAACAGGACAGTGTCGGGGGTGGGGTCAGCGCAGACCTCCCCGGCAGTCCCGGGCCCCTTCTCCCGAATGAGGGCCCCACGCCCGCGGTCACCCGAAAGGAGCGCTTACCAAGGGCGACGCTGGCTCCTTCGGGGCCGAGCTTGACGGGACCCAGGGCTCAGGGACAGGCGCGGGGGCCACCGCCTCCCCAGTCACGGCGTCTGGAAGAGGACGCAAGGGGATGCGAGTCAGCCTGCGCCGAGGGGCCGAGCACGCCATCCACCCCAGCCCTCGCCCCTAGAGCTCGCTCCCCCCGGGGACAGGCGAAGGGGGCCCAGGCGGACGCCACCCCGAACGCCGAGGCTGGGCTGGAGCCCTCCGAGCCCTCCAAAGGGGTTCCAGGTCTCCGGCGCCCCCTCCCCTCCCAGCCTTTCTCATTCCGGCTGCAAAAGGGCCGGTTGTGTTCCTCCGCGGGCTGCGGGAGCGCCCTGGCGCACACGGAAGGCGCACGCTGCCGAAGGGGGGCGCCCACGGCCCACCCTGGCGTGCAAGGCTCGTGGGGGTGAGGTCTGTTCACAGGGGAGGGAGATGCCCAAGGTCCAAACTGGGAGGGAAAGGGCCCCGCGCGAGGTCCATAGTAGAGGGGAACATTTAAAGCCGGTCCTGGAGAGGGGGGCCCAGGGCTGACCATAAGAGCGCACAAGTTCCATCCCCGACCAGCGAGAGGGGGGAGGAGGAGGACCCCGCGCAAGGTCCATACTAGGGGAAGGAGAGCTGTCCAGTGGAGAGGGCAGGCGCACAGACCCGACGCTTGGGGGCGCACGCGCTTCCCCGGAGGAGTCCCCTGTGGGGGCGCAGGCTCACCTCGGCACAGCTGGAAAGCCGAGCCCAGCAGCGCCACGAGGGAGGCGAGCACCAGGCACTTGTTGAGCGACAGGTCCCCCCAGGGCAGCTCCTCGCTCAGGGCCGGGGGCGGCGGGGGCGGCGCGCTCTGCGCCTTCTTCCGCGCGGGGCTCCGGGGCGCTGTGGGAGCAAGTGCGGGGCTGGGCGCGGGCACCCGGGGGCCGACCTGCGCCCTAACCTCAGCCCTGCCCTGCCTAGCTGTGCGGCCCTGGGCCGGAGAACGAAGTCCTGCGTGCTTGGCAGCTTCACTGGATGCTCAGAATATTCTAGAAGTAGCTGAAGGTTAGCAGCACCTTAGCTGGTGTTATCATGAATTAGCAAGGGCTCCCGGCCCATTCAGTTACTGCCTACAGCGTCTGGACACCACTCAGCCAGGAGCCTCCATGCACCGTGCCGCCTCCTCCCCCTGCAAGGACCCAGCCCAGGACCTACCCCTCATACCGGTCCATACTCACTCCCCACCTCACCCCTGCCTCCTGCAAACCCACGTGCTCCTGCTTTCAGCCTCTCCTTCCCGGGTGCTGGGGCCACTTTGGCCACAGGCTCCTTTTCTGTCTTCTTGGGCCTGTCATCCACTCCACCTGCGGGGCTGCCCTCAGCTGTGGGCTCCTGAGAATCCTATGGGGAGTCACAAATCGTCTTGAGTATTCCCTTGGCATCTTCCTTGTAAGGGAGCCCAAACCCTTCCCATGGGCTGGAGAACCCCCGCACCCTTGGCCAGCGTGTCCCAGACTCCAGCGCATCCTGGGCTGAACCCCGAGGGCCCCGGCTACTCACATGGGGCCAGCCGCCGGAGTCAGCCAGCCTGGGCGTCGCTGTTGGTGGGAAAAGAGGGAGAGTCAAGGTCGTGGGGACCCCCCCGGCCGATCCCACCCTCCTCCGGGCTCTGCTGGGTCAGGGGCAGGTGACGGCTTCCATTCTCCAGATTAGAGACCAGACAGGCTCAGCAGCAGCCTTGCCCAAAGGCAGCCAGCACTTCACCGGAAGCTGGGATGCGAGCCCCGACCTGTGCGGCCCAGCACCTGTGTCCTTTGGGCTCCTGACAGACCCCCCCCGCAGGCACCAGTGGGCTCTGAGGTTAGAAATGCGGAGCACACTGGGCCGGCCCCGTGGCTTAGCGGTTAAGTGCGTGCGCTCCACTGCTGGCGGCCCAGGTTCGGATCCCGGGCGCGCACCGACGCACCGCTTCTCCGGCCATGCTGAGGCCGCGTCCCACATACAGCAACTAGAAGGATGTGCAGCTATGACATACAACTATCTACTGGGGCTTTGGGGAAAAAATAAATAAAAATAAAAATTATTAAAAAAAAAAAAAAAGAAATGCGGAGCACAGTTTAAGCCAGTCCAGTGTGGGAGCCCAGGTCCTGGTCTCTGAAGCTGCGCCACTTGGTCTACGGGACCATGGGGGTGTGGGCTTCATCCTGCCCTGCCAGCGCCCCGTGGGTACCTGGAGCCCTGTCCTCTGGGGGCCGGCCTGGGCAGGGGTCAGCCAGCGTGGAGAGGTCCTCGTCCGCCTGGCAGCTGCCCAGGCCGCCATCCAGCTCCTCCAAGGCCCTGGTTGTCATGGCGACGTCTGAGACGCAGCGGGTCCAGAGTCGGGCTGGGGGGACAGGGTGGAGGCGTCTTGCATGCGCGGGGCCCCTGCTGTGGGCCTGACCTGGGGGTCTCCGAGTACAGGAATTACCCAGCCCCTGCCTCCCCCAGCCCCGTCCCTCTGCCTGGGGCCCCCTGCACTTGGCAAATCCATGCTCCCGCTGGGCGTGGCCCGGCAGCCTCCGCCAGGCCCGCTCCGTGACCCCCGGGCCTGTCCTGGGACCCCTCCCCATAGCCCGGCCTCTCCGGGGCCCCAGCATCCCTGACCGCACAGCGGAGGCTGCTGGAGCCCACCCAAGGTTGCACGGAGATGGGCAAAGACACAGCCCAGACCAGAACCCTTGGCCCCAGGGGCGGCTCGTGTTCTCTGAGACCAGGGACTATTTTTATCCGGTGCCAGAGGCCAGCAGGACTGGCCTACGTGCGGCCCAGCCCCTCCCAGGCCTTTGCCCCCAGGGGGTCCCCCTCTGCACCTCTGTCACCCGCCATTCCTGGCACCACCCCCTCCCCCACTCCCTAAATCCAGGAGCTCAGGCCCCAGCAGCCAGGACCTGCCTCGTCCCGGTCGTGACCGGAGGGGGCAGGGGCGGGGGGCCCCGGGGGCCTGCCCATCCCAACGCTGGGGTCCCTGCCTCCTCTCGCTGCCTCTGTTCCCAGAGGGCAGAAGAGAAAACTGAGGCTGGAGACAGCGCCGTTGGCCAGAGGTCGTGCAGAGCTTGAGGCCAAACCCAGGCGTGCTGGTTTCCCGAAGCCGTGCTTTTCGGGGTCCCCAGAGCCTCTGGCCCCCAGCACTAGTGTGTCCCCATCCCTGGGCACAAAGGCGACCCTTCCCCGGGGCCGGAGCAGTGGAGGAGGGGCCACATGGGTAGGGGGTGGGTGCTCCTAGGTGTGTGTGGGGGGCAGCTGCAAGAATTGGGGACCTCCGTGGACCTCAGAGACGCCCTCTCCAGACCCCGGGGACCCCAACTTCTGCCCAGGCCTCCCCCGGCCCCACTCACCCCACAGCCGCAGCGCCGGGCCTGGTGGACCGGCTGGAGCCCGGGGAGGGTGGCCCCGCGACAGACGGCAACAGGTGGCCGGAGACAGTGGGGTGGGCCAATCAGCTCGGCCGGCGGAGCGAGAGGGGGAGGGGGGCCGGGCATGAGGTGGCTGCTGGGGCGGTCCCCCCCCCCACTTGGAGCAGGACCGGGCATTGGCCGAGGGGTGACACCCCCCCCTTCAACACAGGCTGGCCATGGTGACCCTGGGCACGTCACTTCCTGTCTCTGAGCCTCAGAGAAGAGGGTCCCAAGATGAAAACACCCACAAATGTGGTCCCCTTGCCCTCCCTCTCGAAGTTGGTCAGCAAGGGTTTCTGGAACACCGGCTGTGAACTGGGCTCCGCAGCAGCTGAGCCAGCTGTCTCCCTGCCTTGGAGCCTCGGGGAAGGAGGAGGCCTTGCCGTGGCCCCCGTGGCCTGCAGAGCCTGCGGAGCCTCGGGACATCAGGGAGGGCTTCCTGGAGGAGGAGCAAGACTGTCGTGTGGAATCTGGGCTCTGCTGGCTGACCTGGGCAAGTCACCAGCTCAGAGGCTTCCTTTCCTCGTCTGGAAAGTGGGGTCACTTCCTCCCAGTGAGGCGGTGAGGTCGAAATTCGGGTTAAATAACCACTCGATAACCCTGGGTGCTTTTGTGTCAACTCGCCTCTTCACACATGGACGCTCTCATTTAGTCAGTCATCAAACATGCCAATACCCAGTCCAGCACAGCCCAGCCGTGGGGGAAATTATTTTGTTGTTTTAAAAATATAACAGTTTTATTGAGATATAATTCACATTCTATAAAACTCACCCTTTTAAAGTGTACAGTTCAGTGGATTTTAGTACATTCAGAGTTGTCCAACCATCACCTCTATCTAATTCCAGAAGATTCTGTCACCCCAAAAGCAACCCCGTCCCCATCAGCAGTCACTCCCCATCCCCTCCCCAGCCCCTGACAACCATGAACCCACTTTCTGTCTGCAGGTCTGCCTGTTCTGGACATTTCACATCAGTGGAATCACACACCGTGTGTCCTTCTGTGTCTGGTTCTCTCACTGAGCGTCGTGTGTTCTGGGTCCATCCACGGTGTGGCTGTGTCAGGGCCTCACTCCTCTTCATGGCTGCGTCGTGTTCCAGTGTGTGGGTGGACACACTGTGTGTATCCATCATCCCTCCACGGACACTTGGGGTGTTTCCACCTTTTGGCAACCGTGAATAGTGCTGCTGTGAATGTGGGTGTGCAAATATCTGTTTGAGTCCCTGCTTTCTTTCTTTTTTTTTAATACCAGCTTTATGAGATATGATTCACATACAATACTATTCACCCACAAAAAGCACAGTTTTTCTTTTTTTTGTTTGTGAGGAAGATCAGCCCTGAGCTAACATCTGCCAATCCTCCTCTTTTTGCTGAGGAAGACTGGCCCTGGGCTAACATCCGTGCCCATCTTCCTCTACTTTATATGGGACGCCGCCACAGCATGGCCTGCCAAGCAGTGCGTCGGTGCGCAAAAGCACACAGTTTTTAGGGGCCGGCCGGGTGGCGCAAGCAGTTAAGTGCGAGCGCTCTGCTGCTGTGGCCCAGGGTTTGCCGGTTTGGATCCCGGGCGCGCACCGACGCACTGCTTGGCAGGCCACGCTGTGGCGGCGTCCCATATAAAGTGGAGGAAGATGGGCACGAATGTTAGACCAGGGCCAGTCTTCCTCAGCAAAAAAAAAGAGGAGGGTTGGCAGATGTTAGCCCAGGGCTGATCTCCTCACACACACACACACACACAAAAAGCACACAGTTTTTAATATTGACACGTGTGAAGACAACCCAAGCCTTACGTAACAGTGAATTCCGCTTAGTACGGTTGACATGACGCCACCAGCCCTGCGAGCTTAGGCAGAACCTTGAAGCACCACTTCCCCTAGTGATTACTAAAGCGTCCACTGGAAGTTACCAAAACAGCACCCAGAGTGACCCAAAAGGACGTACCCGCCTTCCGCAGGGGCCGTCTGTCCAGACAGAACCCTGACTAAGTCACTAGCACGAGCCGTCAGAGGGAAAAGTCACGAGCTTATCTCGAAAGCATTAAGAAGCTTTGAAGTACTCTAGATGAGCTATATATTTTTAAATTTGTAAAGGACGTGATTTCTGTAATTGTAGGTCTGTGGTTCTCAACTGGGGTTGATCCCGCCCCCCAGGGGACACTGGGCCCTGTCTGGGGACATCTGTGGTTGTCACACTGGGGCTGCTCCTGGCATTGAGTGGGGGGGGGGGCAGGGATGCTGCTCGACCCCCCACAGTGCTCTGGATGGCCCCACAGAGAGTGACCCGGCCCCGATGTCCACAGTGCCCCAGGGGGAGACCCTGTTTCGTTTAAACTGTTAAAAACGTGACACCATGTAGAACGCCGTCAGGTCAGACCTTGTTATAAGTTGTACCCGTGGCTCACGTCGGTGGCACAATATTCACCCGGTGAAGACAGGTCTGCATGGGGGCGGAACAGCACGCAGGATCGAGAGCAGGGGCCCCGGAGTCAGAGACCCCAATGTGGGGATCCCAGCCAACCCTCCCACGTCTCGGCCTCTGCTGCTCACTGTGAAAGTCACACCGGCCAGGCCGCACTCCCTGAGCTGTTGTGGGAAATTCGCCTTCGCCCAGATCGTGACCTGGTCCCGTCCCTCCCTCCGTCTCACCCCACGGCTCACACGAGGCCCTCTACAGAAGGCTCAGATTTCAGAGGCACCTCTGGCCCCCGCTATGTGTTGATTGTACTCCCCAAAAATACGTGTTCAAGTTCCATCCCCCAGAGCTTCAGAATGTGACCCTCTTTGGGAACGGGGTCTGCCATACATTGAATGTATCCCCCCAAAATTCATGTGTTGAAACCTAACCCCCCATGTGACGGTATTTGGAGGTAGGGCCTTTGGGGGGTGATGAGGTCATGAGGGTGGGGCCCCCATGATGTGATTAGTGCCCTCATAACAGACCCCAGAGAGCTCTCTCGATCCTTCTGCCACATGAGGACACAGCCAGAAGACCGCCATCCGTGGACCAGTACGAGGGTTCCCACCACACGGCGAATCTGCCAGCACCTTCGTCTTGGACTTCCAGCCTCCAGAACTGAGAAACGAATGTCTGTGTTTACAAGCCACCTGGTTTCTGGTGTTCTGTTATAGCCGCCCCAATGGACTGAGACAGGATCTTTGCCAGCGTAATTAGTTAAGACAAGGGTGGACTCTAAACCAATAGGATGGCATCCTTAGAAGAAGACGGAAATTGGGAAACAGAGACGCACACAGGGAAGATGATACAGAGACACACGGGGAGACGGCCACGTGTTGAGGGAGGCAGAGACTGGAGGGAGGCGGCCACCAGCCAAGGGGCACCTGGAGCCCCCAGAAGCTGGGAGAGGCAGGAAAGACCCTCCTCTGGAGCCTCCGGAGGGAGCGCAGCCCTGAGACCCCTTGATTCCAGAGTCTTCCCTCCAGAATGTGAGGGAATAAATTCCCGTTGTTTTCAGCCCCCCAGTTAGTGGTCATTTGTTATTGCAGCTTCGAGAAACTCATACACCTTGAATCTTCGTTCTCCCCCATGATGACACAGAGAGACCGCCACACCCCTGCTCCGGGGGGCTCCGGGCTCCCCTCTCAACCTTCAAAGGTGCATTCTAAGACCTGCAGCTGGGTGTTTGCAGCTGCAAAGTGTGGGCCGCGTTGGGACCACGGAGGGGAAGGGGGAAGTGGGTCTCCGCGATGAGTCACCAACAGCAAAGGTCCTGAGCAAATACGGCCTCCCCAGGAGCCACCGGGAAACCCGACAAACCTGCCCACCCGCATAGCTGAGGCCAACAGCTCCCGGCCCCCTCCTGCCTCGCTCAGAAGAACTCTTGTTTTCTTCCTAATCACACAGGCAAACCCCGAACATTTAGAAAGTGTGGAGAAGCTCAAAGAAGACCATTTTGAAAACACCCACAATGCTCCCACCCAAATCAGAAGCTGTGTGACATTTCGATGTTCTTCCCTCGGATGTGTTTGCAACTTTTTGTTTTAATATTATTTACGTATTTATTTTGATAAAACTGGCATCGTTAGTGAACGTCTGAGCATCTTGTTTTGCAGCCTGCATTTTTTTATCTGAAGAGTATATTATGGTTTGGCAGTTCCTCAAAAAGCTAAACATAGAATTACCATATGCCCAGCGATTCCAATCCGACGCGTAGACCCAAAGGAATTGAAATCGGGGACTCGAAGGAGTACCAACATTCGTAACAGCATCACTCGGAATAGCCAAAAGGTGGAAGCAACCCAAATGTGCATCGATGGATGATGGATCCACACAACGTGTCCACCCACACACTGGAATACGACGCAGCCATGAAAAGGAGTGAAGCCCTGACACAGCCACACTGTGGATGGACCTTGAACACACGATGCTCAGTGAGAGAACCAGACACGGAAGGACACACGGTGTGTGATCCCATTGATGTGAAATGTCCAGAACAGGCACCTCCACAGACAGAAAGTAGGTTCATGGCTGCCAGGGGCTGGGGGAGGGCGAGGGGGCAATGAAGAGTTACTGCTTAATGGGGACAGAGTTTCCATTTGGGATATGAAAAAGTTCTGGAAATGGATGGTGGTGAGGGTTACACAACTGTGTGAATGTAATTAATACCACTGAATTGTACACTTCAAAATGCTCATTTTTAAAACTGGCAATTGCTATGTTGTGTCTATTTTACCGCAACGACTTTGTGAGTGAATCTTTCAGCCCCAGTCGAGCCTTCGGATGATTCGGCCCCACCTTGATGTCAACCTCATGAGGGACCTGGAGCCGGGGACCCAGATAGGCTGCGTCTGGATGTCTGACCCCCAGAAACCGTGGGATAATAGATATTGGTTGTTTTAAGTTTCTAAGTTTCGGCATAACTTGTTACACGTAAAGACAATGAATACAGGAGTGGTCTACGTCTGGGCTGCCCAACATTGCAGCCGCCAGCCTCTTCTGTGGCTACTGAGGACTCGAAATGTGAACTAGTGTGACCGAGGAACTGAATTTTAAATTTCTTCAACTTCTTATTTTGAAATAATTTTAGACTTACAGAAGAATTGTGAAGACAGTACCCAGAGTCGCTGTCTACCCTTGACCTCTGGTCCCCAAATGTTCCTTCAAAAGTTTTTTATTGGGGTAGAATATACATAATGTGGCATTTACCATT